AATGCACAACGCTCCATAACTAGCCAATAATTATGCAGCCCCATTAATATATGCTCAAATACCCATTATAATCCAATTTACAACATTTTCTAACCCCGATCGAAAAGTCGATAAAATTACCCCCAGGCTCATATGCCCGAATTCCGAAATTTTTCGAAGATAAAGTTTACCCATAACCTCACAAACTCAAATATATAATTTATTTCTAATTCCATACCAAGATTCGTGGTTAAAATCCAAAGATACCAATTTTCTAGGTTTTTCTTCAAACCCTAATTTTTCACTAATTTCCATGTTAAAATCTATACATAATCAATGTATTTAACTCATAACAGGTGGGGATAGCTTAAATGGGCAGTACTTCTTAAAATAGTTTGTTGCCCAGTACTGCCGTTCTTCGCGAACGCGGCAATACCCTCGCATTCGCGAAGCACAACCTGCTTCTGCCCCAAAATTCCTCCTTCGCGTTCGCGACCTGCTAATCGCGTTCATGAAGACCAGCTACCTAAACCCTTCGCGTTCACATAGGCCAACGACCTCAGGTCCAGCTTCCCTTTTTCCTTCTACGCGTTCTCGGTTAACTATTCGCGTTCGCGTAGTCAACTCGGCCAACCCCTTCGCCTTCGCGACCTCCACTTTGTATTCGGGAAGGCCAAATCTAGGAGCCTCCAACCTTCCTCTTCGCGAATGCAGAACTCCCTTCGTGTTCGCGAAGAAGGAAACTAGATACAGCAAATCAGCAGCAACTTTTCATCCAAATTTGATCCGAAACACACCCGTGGCCCCCGGGACGCCGTCCAATCACACAAACCAGTCCCATAACATCAGACGGACCTGTTCGAGGCCTCAAATTACATCAAATAACGCTGAACCCATGAATCGCACTCCAATTCAAGCTTAATGAACTTTAAAATTTTCAACTTCTACATTCGATGCCGAAACCTACAAATCATGTCCGATTGACCTCAAATTTTGCACACAAGTCATATTCGACATTACGGGTCTACTCCAACTTCTGAAAATTGGAATGCGACCTCGTTATCAAAAAGTCCACTTTCGGTCAAGCTTCTCAAAAACCTCCGAATTTCTAACTTTCGCCAAATGACTCCAAAATGACCTACGGACCTCCAAATCTACTTCTGATCGCGCTCCCAATACCGGAATCACTATACGGAGCTATTTCTAAAATCGGAATCCCAAACGGACATAGATAATACCTAAATGCACTTCAACCCAAACTTATGAAATTCTTCCAAAATGCTAACTTCCCCAATAGGCGTTGAAACGCTCCCGGGTCATCCAAAACCTGATCCGGACATACGCCCAAGTCCAAAATCACCATACGAACCTGTTGGAACCTTTAAATACTGATTCCGAGGTTGTTTACTCAAAAATTCAATCTTAGTCAATTCTGCCAACTTAAAGCTTGTGAAATGAGAATTTCCTTTCAAATCAACTCCGAACTTCCCGAAATTCAATTCCGATCATGCGTACAAGTCATAATACCCGAAGTGAAGCTTCCCATGGCCTCAAACCGCCGAACGATTCGCTAGAGTTCAAAACGACCGATCGGGTCGTTACAATGAAGTAGCACTTCATGTAGTAAAGTACATTAAGAAGCAACCAGTGTTGGGGCTGTTAATGTCAAGTGACAGCGCTGAAGAAATAGAAGCATTCTGTGATTCAGATTGGGCATCATGTCCTTTGTCAAGAAAATCTGTTACTGGATACTGTGTTAAACTTGGGATTTCAACCATATCCTGGAAAGCTAAGAAGCAGCATACTGTGTCTAGAAGCTCAGCTGAAGCTGACTATAGGAGCATGGCGCACACTGTGGATGAACTTGTGTGGCTAAAAGGTCTATTGGAAGAGCTGAGTGTGAACCTAAAGCTGCCTATGAAGTTGTTTTGTGATAATTAGGCAGCATTGCAAATTGCTACAAATTCAATTTATCATGAAAGAACAAAACACATAGAAATAGACTATCATTTCATCCGAGAGAAAATTCAAGAAGGGTTGATCAAGACTTCTTACATACCCAGTTAGGAGCAACCAGTTGTGTGCTGACCAAAGCACTAGGACATCAGCAACATGCAGCATTAATCTCCAAGTTGGGAATGAAAGACATTTTTTTCATTCTCAACTTGTGGGGAGTGTTGAAATTAGAAGTTGTAAATAGTTGTACATTTCTGTATTTATGTAGTACTATTCTAGAAGGTGATTAGTTAAGGAAGTTAGTAGGTGATTAATTATGTTAGTTAGTATAATAAGGGGTATACAATTCATTTACAACTAAGCAATTAACAGAAGAAACGGTTTCTTCATTTCCAATTCCTTTCCTTCTTTCTATCTCTCTATCCCTTCTTTCTCTTGCTCGAGCTCATCAATGGCGGAACCTAGGCTAGATTTCAACAAAAGACTTCTCATATATAGATGCTAAAATTAATTAAAAAAATTAACTGAACACCAATTTTCTGCACACTCCCTTTCCATGTAAAAGTTCTTTTTTTTATGGACAGTGACTCAAATTGAGGATTTTTACATGCTCTCACACTGATATTAGTTAATCACACCGTTTAAAAGTTTAAATTATTGGGATGAAATACTTTTATATAAAAAATTATGTCTACCTCCCAGTACCATAATTATTATATTAAAAATAAAAAAGTATGTTAGGAGAGGGTAAATATATAAAACTTTCTCATTTATCCTGATTGTGAATCCTTCCCTTTTGCCGGTGTGGCTTTGTTGGATGCACAAGGTGAGGAAACGATCTTTTTTATACCATCAATACATAGAACTTAAACCCTGATATTGTTAATCACAATTTCATGTATTGGACCTTGTCAAGAAATACTATTATGATATTATGAACCCTGTCGATAAATCCTCCTATTCGTATGACTTCCAAATTTGCTTACATTATTTAAGACAACCAATTACTTGAAAAGGACCCGATGAATTAGACTAATTCACTTTAAAACTTTGCATCCATAATTATGTACAACACTGTATCTGATATTTAAAAGTCAGAAACATATGGCCCCAACAGATGCTTTCGAAAAAGTCCAGTTTCTAAATTGGACAATATTTTAGCTATAAAAAGACTAAGGACCAAACATTTAACATTCATATTTACATCCAATAATTCCTCGGGTACTCGGCCAACTATTAGCATTGTATGTCACAATTATCATGAAAATGAAGTATCAAACACAAATTAAATCCTGAATAATGGTTAAAAGATTGCCAGGTAGAGGTACTACTTAATTTGGTAACATGTAGGTCACAAATTTTAGGTAACAATTTTTCCAAATGAATGCTATGGAAAAACATTGTCATTATAGTTTAGTTTGGTGCAGCAAGTTAGTTTCCATTTTGATTAGGATACGAGCTAAGATTTACTTGTAATCACTTTATGATTGTGTAAATATATTTGTATCATCAGTGCATAAAATTACTTAGTTTACTTATTAGGATCACATTGATATCAGGACTAGGAGTAACCAACTTTATCTTCCCTCGAAAATAACATATTAAAACTAACCAAACGTCAAACACAAATATGAATTATATATAATAAAAAGGTAACCATTAACTATATAATAATATAACTCAAAAAAGGTGAAGTAGAAGCCCCAAAATGTTAAAATTGTAGCCCAAAATCCAAAGGGCTATGAATATTCCCTAAAATATAGACACCAAAATTCAGCCAAAAAAATGTGGACTTGGAAGTTTGCTACTGAGCTATATCAGAGCCAGGTTTCGATCCTGGGACCTGTGGGTTATGGGCCCACCACGCTTCCGCTGCGCCACTCTGATTTGTTGTTCTTCCCTTACGGCAATATTATATTTCATACTTAAATAAGCCCCCTTCAACTTCCGTACAATTTTCACTTTGTCTTCGTATCTTCGATTTATATTTCTGGTCGCTGCCATATCTTCTTTGGTTTTCACGAAATTTGCTACATTTTCTTTTTCCAATTTTTTTAACACGTATGGGTAAGGGGAAGAAGAAAAAGTTTTTTTTAAAAAAAATACAGAATTTTACACTCATTTTGCAAAAATTTCTAAACTATACAACTTACATGATTTACTGCATCATAAAATTCATCTCTGAGTTGTAAAATAATTAGAAAACAAGATATTTTACTACAAGATTTGTTTTCCAATGACTAAGGTTTTTCTTCTTCCGACAGCTAGGTTTGAAAAATAAATCTGTGAACTATAAAATACAGCTATTTTTTGGTTCTGAATGTATTTGGTTACTTAAAAGTATAACATGATTGATTAATAAGAAAGTTCTAACTTTTCAGGTTGCACACTTAAATCTTGCAGTTAATGCCTCATGGATGCTTATATTCATAAAGTAACTTTCACTCTCTTTCACATTCTTGTTCAAGAACTAGATGTTGATATCCTAGGACTACTATTTTATTATGTTTCATCTTAGGTTTTCAGTGTTGTTAGAGTTTGTCATTTGGTGCGTAACAAAATGGGAAGTATTCTTTATCATACATTTCTACAAAAAGTTCAATGCGACTAGCCTCAAGGTTGTTTTGAAAATTTTTTATGCCAACCATCAATTTGAAATTTTGAACAAGCATCAAGAATCACTAGAGACCTGAAGTGTAGAATTCAACTGCATGTTACACGAGTTGTGTTCACACTACTTTTCCATTTTTTTTATAGTGTCGAGCCTTATTTATTGGTTATTGTTTTTGCTTTTCATCTATTTCCTGATTCTTATGATATTGTTATTTCTATGGTTTCTATTGATAGTACTGATATATTGTCTATTTTCGTCTTCTTGAGCCGAGGGTCTATCGGAAACAACTTCTCTACTCCCTCTGGATACGAGTAAAGTCTACGTACATGCTACCCTTCCCAGACCCCACTTGTGAAATTTTACTGGGTCATCGTCGTCGTTGTTACAGTTCTCATGAAAAAAATGTGCATAGACAAAAGTTAAGAGCATTTCACTACAGAAAAAATGAACCTGCCAAAAGATCCATGGCTCGATATGGTGAGATGGACTAATTTCATCAATGTTAGCTGGAAATGAGAAAATACAATATCCAATATACAGAAAGTATATCTGGTCAAGATTGTACAAGTGTTTCAGATGAGATGGTCTGCGCTCCTCTTAGTGGAGTCTCTACTACAGTTAAATACATTTTTACAAGCTTCTGCAGAACTTGTTCGGATCTGAACCCACAAGTAGTCTCAGAAAATATCCAACAGCAAGGATAATCCAAGCTGCAGTGACACCTTACGAGCTTACTACTCCGTCCTCAATCACAAGAAGAGGGTGGCTCAAAGGCAGATCAGTGAGCTAGTGCCCATTCTCTTGGGCCAAAATAACAAACCAAAGGTATTCAATGGAAGTTCTGTCACCTAGTCAGTAGAGCCTAAAATAATTCCGCGTCCCAATACGTATAATATCTAGCTGTCAATGAAGTGCATCAGTTCATCTTCAAACTGAATATTAGTTCAAGTGGGATGAGCAAGAGGTCCAGTTTACCAAGTCCTTGTAAATAATGAAGAATATCAACTTATTCTTGGAGGAGGCGGAGAGGATGGCTCTCTGTGATGAAATAACTTGACCAGTGACCTACGCTCACAGTCCTGCAGAAGCAAACATTCAAACAGACAATGAAATTCCACAGAACTGCTCTTACACAGGTAGAGACACAAAATTTTTGGTCCAATGTTGTTGAAATATCAGAATAAAGTAATTAGTGGATCACGTACATCTGTTGGTGTGTACTTGTACTAAAATGACAGTGAGAGCATCGTGTTTTACATGTTCAGTTCCTAGGTTTAATGAAAGATAGAGCAGCACAAGTGACTACAAGTTGTCCGAGCTTGACAACATGTCAACTTATTTTAGGAAAACGGTGTTAATATTGACACAAAACAATATTGCAAAATCAAATCACAAATAGCTTATCCTGCCTAGCAGATAGATTGAAGGGGGTTAAAATACTGCAGAAATATATCTAGCAATACAGTTAGTTTTCAAGAGCAAGCAGCTGATTCAACAGTGACCATGTTTGTTTGTTAGTTTCGCAAGAGCTGTAAATAAAAGAATTAAAGCGGCCGGAAGAATCCTCACCTTAAACATATGTAAATGGAATGGTTTGTCTGGATTCATTCTCTTCAGTTTTAGGAGTGTATACGCGAAGCTTAGTTGGTCACGTGAAGTAAATCGGTCAACTTCATTGAACCAGAGGCAAGAAAACAAATTTGACATGGGTGTATGTGCTCTGACAATAAAAGAACCTTCAGGCACATCTGCAGTACGCCAGAAAACCATAATTAGTTCAACAAACTGCATATGAATGAAGAAGGCAACAAAGAATAAGATAAAATAGTAAGCATGAAAATGGCTACATACAGCTCGGCAGAGGAGGATTTGGATCTGAAGGGTCAAATTTGGTAAGACCATCAGATTGGTAAAATGAAAACTGTTCGTCAATGGCAGTGTGATTGTACTTATTTAGACGCTTATTTTGGAGTACTTCTTCCCAAACACAATGCCGAGTATAATGATTTGAAATGGCATACTCAGAGCCAGTATGCCACAAGAAATGATCAATTATCAACATTGGATCAGTTNGGAGCCAGTTTGCCACAAGAAATGATCAATTATCAACATTGGATCAGTTGTGAGCCGCAGTTTGCTATCAAGCCAAATAGAGTACCTAATAATTGCCACAAGAGGAGAACAAATTCATCTTCAATTGGAGCAAGATGAATAAAGAATGCAATCCAGCTAGGGAATATGGAAAATCACCTAGAAGAAGGAAAGAGGCGATGTGTCAAAAACTTTGGCACTTTCCCTGTTTTACGCATATCTGTGTATGGTAAATTCTTGACAACAACTAATTTCCACAAACCAACAAATCCACCATCATCAGGTGTGCTTCCTTCTGTTGAGAGAGTGGAAAGAGTTTCCTCATCGACAAACATAACAAAACATACATTCTTCTTCGAATACTCACTGATCTGAAATGGAAATGATTAATTCAAACTAAGCACATGTTGTTATATCTAGGCCTGCTTTGGTCTTTCCAAAGATAATAACATCTAACAATCTGTAGAATATTGCTATATTGAGTCACTTTTTATTAGAGAAAACTGAAGTATCTGGGATACATGTATTAGAAAGTTTTTGATCTTTAGAAAGCTACTATAACATTTCTGATTTACAAGTTTTCTATGCAATTTCCATTTCCGAAAATAAAGACAGAGCAAAGAGAGTTGAATACAACATGGTTATTAGAATGAAAAAGAAATAAGGAACATTCCAGACTTTGAGGTGCTTAATAATTTGAATGGATATAACCAAACAATCTAAACGGATATCATTCCAAGTAAATATAAAGAAAAAAATGGCCTAATCATTACCAATTTGCTTGTTGGCCTTCTTAGAAAATCAGAGCTTCCAAAAATACATGATGATACAACCACTCTGCATGTACTCATGTATCTTTTATCCTCCTCTTTCAAATCAAATCCAGTACTTGGAAAACCCTCAGCTCCCCTAACAAAACCACAACGAATTGTTTGATTTACAGCAAAAAATGATTGTTCTCTTTCTTCAAAGGTCTGATGTCCACCAAATTTGGGTTCATGAGCATCAATATGGGAAGCTTCCTTTTCTGTTTCCATATATCCCAAGGAAAACTGGGTGAAATTCAAAAAGTCCTTGGGTTCAATAAGAAAATTGACGGAATCCCTAAATGCTACCTCACAAGGGAAAAAACCTGAAAAATCAAATAGAAACGAAATAAGGATTTGCAAATTTCCTAACTGATGTCAACAAAGGGATAGACTTTCACTAACTGATCTCTAGAAGTTATGAGAATTCAGCATAGCCACGTGATAATATATACATTTTGGCATTTTTGGAGTAACAAAAAGAAGTGAAGAGGATAGAATAGAACTTGAAACTTGTTGTATGGGGCAAGCTTTAATGCATATCTAGGCACTCCAAATTAATTGGATTAAACACATCCATAGCATGTTTAAGCTTTGGTTGCCAGCAACCTCAATAAGATAAACGGTTTTGAACTTTGACCTCGAGATTCATTGATAGATTACAGAAGACAGGTAATAAACTGATCTTGTATAGCAGGCAATATGTGCTCCGAAGAAGAGGTTTATTGAAGGCATACTTATCCTCATATCCACCTTTTCTATTTTTCATGGAACCTTTTTAAAATTTTGTGATATCACTATATATACAATTAGACATTTTGATGTGTTACTCACCAGTTTGTCCAAACAAGGCAATTTCACTGCAGAAGATTGAAAAGAAGGTGCTTCATACTAAAATCAACCTACATAAGCTTTATAAACCGTGTATAGAGTTACCAATAGATTGAGGTGTAGTTGAGTGGTTGATGTAGAGTTAAGAAGAAAATTAAGTATGTATTATGGCCTAGCTTAGTTCAATATGAACTACTCTGGATTATGGAACAAGACACTCAAATGGTGGATACTGGAAAACCATAAAATTTTGAAGCGCTTCTTCTTATCCTTGCCATTTGGAATGTGCAGTAGATTCCATGTTTTATTTGCTGTTCACTGGAAATACTTTTGCTTCGAAGGGCTGTTTCTTTCCCTTCCCTTGTACAAGGTTTGTGTAGAACTGTTTCAAATATTTAAAGAAATAAATAAAGAGAGGATCGGAGACTGCTCATTTAGCCAACGTGGAGTGATTTTGAAGACATAACCAAAGAGCTCATTCGTAGGTGATGTTTTAGAAACTGTTATTCTTTTTACATTTTGATAGCTATTAAAAGTAATTAACGACATAGTTTCTAAAGGACGTACTTCAGGATTTATAAAGACAACTCAGAGATCTGCACTATCACTCTTAGATTGCCACACAACCATGAAACAAAGAGGTAAAAAGAGAATGGCAACTATAGTTCTCCACATGTATCTCTCTGCTTATTAATAACTGCAGACAAGTGCTTCAAACTAAAACTACAAAGTTCTAGGATCTAGGCTGCACTAATTCTTGCTAAAATGTTACTGTTAGTTATTATCAATTTTGGCCTGGATAAGCATAACTTCTCTTCCATTGTCTGCTTGCTGGAAACTCTCTTCTTAATGACATTAACTCATGCAAGAGTCTACACAAGCATAGTAAAGGTGAGTCTTACGCTGCCTACGGGGTTTCTTTGTTGGGCGGTCAGGGAAATCATGCCCAATATAATCTTCTTGTAATTCTCTCCAAGGCAACATGCCACGTTCCAGTTTACCTGCAAAGCACAATTGGAAAACAGGTCTTTGAATAATATCTAAACTTTAGAAAAGTGTATCAATGAATTTATAAACTCAAAGCATGAGAAGCTAGTATGGGTAAAGCAGGTCTGCTATCCTTCAACTATTGCCTAGGATATTAAAGTAGTCACAGGGACACAGAAGATTCGAGTCCGGTATTCTACCACAGTTCATTTCACTTACGGGTTCAAAGTTTAATACTTTGTAATTATTTAGTGAAACTTTTAACACATATAAAGGGTTTTGAACCAAAGCTACTGGATTCGGATGAACCCATAACATGTGCTCTACATCCGTTCCTGCTGGGACGCTGCCTCCCCAAAATATAATCGCAGTAGTATTACTCATCTATAAGTGTAAAAATCCCAACGAGAGAGTAGCAATTGCCAGCAGTTACTTGTAATCTTTTACATTCTTAAATGAATGAATTATAACATCCAGTTCACTAGAGGATAAGCACATAAAAGTTTAAAGCTTATAGCTCAAAGTTTGGCCAAGAAAATCAAAAAAGAGGGGACTAAGATCAGATGTGGATCCAAGATTTGCACATCATGAGTCCGAGTTCGGAATTCCATCACAATCCATATGATTTACTAGGTTCGAACTCTATTACATTTGTACTTATTTAATGGATATTTTAACACATATACCAAGGGCGGAGCCATAATAGAAGTTACGAGTTTGGCAGAACCCAATAGCTTTGGCTAAAACCCTGTATCCGCCTCGGCATATATCTTGTTTGAGCCAAAGCTATCGGGTTTGAATGAATCCATAAGTCCTTACTACATCCTCCCCTACCTAAGATGGAAAGCAAATCACCCATTTCAACAACCGACCTTGCCAAAATGCAATAAGCTTCAGTTTTATCAGTAAATACAAAAATTTTAAGACTGCAATATGGAACTGTAGAATGAAATGAATCATGAGCCCGTTCAGATTAGCTGATTTTAAATAACTGACATTTACTTGTTTGGATAGAAGTGCTGAATTTGATAAGCGGACAACACAACAAAAATTCCAAAATGCTTTCTTTATACTATTACTTACCATGGAAGTGCATCCCTAAGCCAAAAACAGCGAATGAGATAAAGCAGAGGACAGCAAGTGAAAACACCCAAAACAGCAATCCGTTATTTGAAAACCGGCTCAACTTTCGTCCTCCTCTTCGAGAAAGTTCAGTATTGTTCTTATAGAGACCCATCACTCACAACAACATCCCTCCAAATCCTTAAACATCAAACTCCTCATCTGTCATTATAATTCAAAAAAAAAATGTGAATTTGTTCAAATACATCGAAACATTATTACATGATGCAGAAAATTGTAATTCTAATAAAACCTATTCATTTCCATTCCGATGAACGTAAATACAATTTGGGTTAAAGTTAAATTTTGAAGATCGATAGTTGTAGATAAAAAAATTTGTTTTAGATCGGTTTTTTACCTGAGTAGTGTGATCTGAGTCTAATAACAGACCGTCGGTGGGCTCGCGCCTAGTAAAAGCTGAGCCACGACGACTAGCTCCATTACACAGTTTTTGACAATTTTTAACGTGGATTGTTTTTAGGAAGTAGTAGTAGTAATTTTACCATGTAGTAGTAAAACTTCCTTTTTCTTTTCAATTTTATTTTTATGATATGGCATTCTTTTTTAGTTTAAAATGTCTAAAATATAGTATTGTTTCAATATAGAATATGTTTCCATTATTTTTAAGAAATTACATTCATTTAACTATTTATTGAATTAACTTTTCAACCATCGCTTCACATATTGTTCTGCTATCACTAACATAATATACCCACTTAATTAATTTTACTACTTATATCTGTCTAAATTTATGTTGCGTTCTTTTATTTTTAATTTTCAAAACAGTGGCATCTTTTGATATTTGAAATATTAACTTTAAATTTCTTATTTTATTTACAATCACTTTAATATAATGACATATTTAAAACTTTAAATGAACAAGTTTTAGGAATATTTTTAGTAAGTGGCAAAAGCTATTTTTCTTTCTTAAATAATTTTCATCTTGTGTAAGATGAATCATAAAGAGTACTTATTTTTTATATTATCGCTAATATAATACACAAGCTAAATCAACCGATAAGCACTATCTTCATTTAACAAAAACAACAAAGTGAGTTCCCACAAGTGGGATCTGGGAGGGTAAAATGTACGCAGACCTTACTCCTACCTCGGAGAGTAAGGAGGTTGTTTCCGAAAGACCCTCGGCTCAAGAAGACGAAAAGAGACACAATATTAATCACATCAATAGAACCATAGGAATAATAGCAACATCATAAGAACCGGAAAATAGACGAAAAATAATAATAAAAACCAGTGAATAAGGTTCGGTACTACGAAAACGGAAGAATAATATGGACACAACAATAATCGCTAGCAGCCTAGGACAAAACCTTATCAGACCAGCCTCCCACCTGGAACGAAGTAGAAAAATGCCCATGTACCTCCTAACCTACCACTCTAATGCTCGACCTCCACAACTTCATATCAATGGTCATGTCCTCGAAAATCTGAAGCCACGTCATGTCCTGACTGATCACCTCTCCCCAATACTTCTTAGGTCGCCCTCTCCCTCTTCTCGAACCTGCCAAAGTCAACCGCTCACGCCACCTGATTGGGGCATCTGGGCTTCTCCTTCGCACGAGCCCGAACCATCTAATTGTTTCGCTTCCCACACCTTGTCATCCATAGGGGCCACACCCACCTTATCTCTAATATCTTCATTCCTAATCTTATCCATCCTAGTGTGCCCGCATATCCACCTCAACATCCACATCTCTGCTACTTTCATCTTCTGGATATGTGAGTTCTTAACTGGTCAACACTTTGCCCCATACAACATGGTCGGTTTGACCACCCCTTTATAAAACTTACCTTTAAGTATCGGTGGCACTCACTTGTCACACAGGACTCCAGATGCTAACATCTATTTCATTTGCCTCACCCCTCTATATGGTGTGTGACATCCTTATCGATCCACCCATCCCCCTGGATAACTGACCCAAGATACTTGAATTTGCCTCTCTTGGGGATGACATGTGATCGAAGCCTCATGTCCAAGCTCGCTTCTCTTGGCTCAATGCTGAACTTGTACTCCAGGTATTCTGTCTTAGTCCTGCTCAACTTGAAACTCTTAGACTCAAGGGGATGTCTCCAAACCTCCAGTCTCGTTAACGCCACGTTGTGTATCATCAATCAGAACTATATCATCAGTGAATAACATACACCATGGCACCTCTCTTTGAATATGTCGTATCAGTGCGTCCATCACCAGAGCAAATAAAAATGGGTTGAGCGCATATCCTTGGTGTAAACCCATAACAAATCGGGAAGTGCTCCGGGTTGCCTCCCACAGTCCTAACCCGAGTCTTATCTCCACCGTACATGTCCTTAATCTCTCTAATTTAGGCAATCAGTACACATTTTGCCTCCAGGTATCTCCAAAGAACCTCCCTAGGGACCTTGTCATACGCTTTCTTCAGGTCAATAAACACCATGTACAGATCCTTCTTCATATCCATGTACTATTCCACCAACCGCCTAATAAGGTGGATCGATTCCGTAGTCGAACGCCCCGGTATGAACCCGAATTGGTTGTCGGATATAGACACCATATTTCTCACCCTCACTTCCACCACCCTTTCCCACACTTTCATAGTATGACTTAATAACTTGAAACCTCTATAGTTGTTGCAACTCTGGATATCACATTGGTTCTTGTACAGCGGTACCACCATACTCCACCACCACTTATTCGACATCTTCTTCGTCCTGAAAATAACATTAAACAACATGGTCAGCCACTCCAAGTCTGCTCTACCCATACACCTCTAGAATTCTACCAGAATTTTGTCTGGCCTGATCGTTATGCCCCTACACATCTTAGGCATATCCCTTACAAAATACTCAACCGTAATGCACCTACAATACCCAAAGTCTTGGTGACCCTCGGAATGCCCCAATTCACCTAGAACGATATCTCGGTCCCCCTCTTCATTCAAAAGTTTATGAAAGTAAATCTGCCATCTCCGCTTAATATGAGCCTCTCCCGTCAATACTCTACCATCCTCGTCTTTGATGTACCTCACTTGGTACATCCCAAGCCTTCTCTCTCTCGCCTTGACCAGTCGAAATACCTTCTTTTCCCCATTGTTATTCCCAGTTCCTCGTATAGACGGCCAAACGCTGCAGTTTTAGTCTCCGTGACCACCAACTCCATCTCCTTCGTAGCTACCCTATAACTCTCCCTGTTTTCTCTCATATCCTCCTCGCTTGTGCTCCCTACAAACTTCGGGTACGCCGCCTTCTTCGTTTTCACTCTACCTTAGACTACTTCATTTCACCACCAGTCACCTTTGTGCCCGCCAAAATAACCCTTCGAGACCCCTAACACCTCTTTCGTCACCTCCCTAATACAGTTCACCGTCGTCGTTCACATAGCGCCCGCGTCCCCGTTGCACCTCCAGGCTCCCATAGCCGACAACCTCCCCTCCAACTCCTAATCTTTATCCTTAGTCAAGGCTCCCCACCTAATCCTTGGTCGACCTCGCACATACCTCTTCTTCCTCTTAATCATGATACCGACGCCCATCAGCAAGAGCCTATGTTGCGTCACGAGGGTCTCACCCGGGATAACCTTGAAATCCTTGCACAACCCTCTATCACACCTCTCGAGAAGGAGATAATCAATCTGAGTCTTCGTCACTGTACTTTGGAAAGTGACCAAATGCTCATCCCTCTTCGGGAAGCGAGAATTCGCAATCACCAGCACAAATGCCTTAGCGAAATCCAACAGCGAAGTATTCCGTTCCTATCCCAAAGACAAAGCTGCCATGAACCTCGCCATAGCCACCAGCAGTCGACCCAAAATAACCATGGAAATCCCCTCCGATATGAATACTACGCACAATCTTATCCAATCCCTCCTATAAGTGCCTCTTAATCACCTCCAAACCTGCTTGCGGCGCATACGCACTAATGATATTTAGGGTGCACCCTACAACCACTAACTTAATATATATTAGTCTATCATTCACTCACCTAACCTCTACTACAGACTCTCTAAGTTCTCCATCCACCAAGATATGCATTCGATTCTTACCCTTTATGACTCCAGAGTACCACAACTTATACTCGTCAGCATCCCTCACCCTCGATCATACCCACCTAGTCTTCTGAACCCAAGCTATACTGACCTTCCTCTTCTGGAGAATCTTCGCCAACTCTATAGATTTACATGCCAATGTACCTATCTTCCACGACTCAATTCTCAACCTATAGGCTCCATTGTTCCTTTTGCCTTCTATCCCACCCCCTGTCCCTTGGCCCACTCTCACCCCCACCCCCCGCTCACTCTGAAGACATGTACTTACTCTATCATCTCAGAATACAACCGCTACACCTAGGACAGATTAAGGGAAATTGCTAACCCAAAAACAACAGGCAAAACTAGAAGAAAACAAGAAGTGTTATTGCAGGCACTCTAATAGTATGATTAACTAATACGAAAAAATAACAACAATTTAACTAACACAAAGAAAAGAAATAGGAAAGCGGGAGGTACCAACTCCCGCGAATAGAACCTGCAAATTCGACTTGGTGTGCTCTTCCTTTCAACTTCCACCGGACTTTACGAATACCAACCAATGTAGGGGCTACTTTGTCGCACCCAATAAAGCAATTCCGGCCTTCCACGCGTTGCCACCACTTTCATTGCCGTCAGCCGCAAATCAAACTTCTGCCTACGTGTTTGCCTCATGATCACCTTCTTCGATAGCCTCATGTGGGTAGGCACCTGAAAAAGTGGGCAACCTCTTGGGCCGCAAAAGAGACAAATACTAGAAAAGACCGCTGAAGTGCTACCCTGTTCAGATCCGGGCAGAGGCGTCCTGAGAAAAGGGGGAAGAAAGGTCTTTATTTAGCCACAACAACAGGAAAAAATATGCACTAACTTCGTACTTTTTTTGTGTGTGTAAAACATTAATATTTGAAGTTAAAGACTCAGATTAAAAGGGGAAAGGATCAAATATACCCTTATACTTTCATATATTGTTCATATCTATCCTCCGTTATATTATCGGGACATATCTACCCTTGCCGTTAGCCAAACATTTTAAAAATATCCTCCACCTAACGGAAAGCCACCAAATTAAAAAATACCTATTAATAACCCGTTAAACCCTTTTATTTACTGCACTTCTTCCTCACATATTAGTCATTTCCTTCGTAGTTATTTTTTGTACTCAAAAAGTGAAAGACATAAAAATACCGATAATTATATATTTATTTATATATTGGGTCCCAATTCTTTTAATATCCTTATTGCATGTTTATTATATTCTACCTTTTTTAATTTCTTTTTTTTCTTCTAGCTTCTCTCTTTGTTTTTTTCCGCCCTGTCAAATTGTACCAAAGTATTCATCATGATTTTCTTTCCACCATGACTTGAATGTTTATAGTATCTTATTAGGTTAATAGTTCTGAAGTTTTAAGGCAGCTACCGAAGAATTTCTTCCTCCAACAGTGAGCATT